CATATACAGTACATGTATTTCATTTTGTATGCTTTTGTACTTTAGCCAATGACCTTGACTCGTGCTGACTTCTTCTGCCACATACTCTGCTACATATTAGCTCACCTATGTACTGCTTACAATTGTAATATTAATGTGATACCTACAAAAGCATTTTTAAATATGTGCCAAGTAAACAGAACAGTTATTTGGAAAGATGTTGGGTTTATCCAGTTCAGCTCTTTGGACGTACGTCAAAGATTGAACTTTTAATCACAAGCTGATGGCTGCTAGTTGCTAATTATGTCCATGAATACACCTTTGGTTTTCCATATGTACAGAAAAAAATTCCTGCTTTGAGTATAAATTGGAAGTTGTAAGTTAAAGCAAACCTATGTTGGCCAATAAAAAAAGAAAAAAAAATACAATATATATAATTACAAGTCACTTTATTAGGTACACCTGTTCAGTTGCTTGGTAACACAAGTTACTAATCAACCAATCACATGGCAGTAACTTAATGCATTTAGGCATCTAGATGTGGTGAAGACGACATGCCGAGGTTCAAACTGAGCATCAGAATGTGAATTAAAGGGGATTTAAGTGACTTTGAACATGGCCTGGTTGTTCGGCTTGTCTGAGTATTTCACAAAATGCTGATCTACTAGGATTTACATGCACAACCATCCCTAGGGAAATCGAGACTCATCTGACCAGGCAACATTTTTCCAATCTTATATTGTCCAATTTTGGTGAGCCTATGTGAATTGTAGCCTCGGTTTCCTGTTCTTAGCTGACAAGAGTGGCGCACAGCCAGTGACAATTCTTGCTGCAGCGTGGTCCCGCGGGCACACTCAAGGTGGTGATCTGAGAGGACATCATATGACGACCACTTGGATCAACCAGAGTCCGGCTCAGCTGCCAGTCTCCTATAGGCCAGGTGGGAACTGGTTAAACAGGGCTTTAGCACTGGGTCATTGCTGTTTGGTGTACAGGGTTCTGTGTGCTTGTTCCTGATTGCTGTGCCTGACCTATGATCTTGACCCGGCTTGCTCCTGACTACGCATGTCTGCTACCTGCCCTGACTTTGGCTGGTCCCTGGATTCTGCTTCTGCCTCCTGTTCCTGCTTGATCTGCTTCACGGTTGCTGACACTGGCCTGTGACCCAACTACTCTTCTGCCTGTCTTCTATGCCTGATCTGCCTGTTTGTTATCAACCCGGCTTGTCTCACTCTGCATCCTGCTCATCCAGCTTGCTACAGCTACTACAGCCCAGCACGCTCTCTTCTGGCTTCTGCTTCCGGACGTGCATCTGCAACCTGCCACCAGCCAAGCACTGTGCCAGCCGTCTATCACTGGCCTGTCCTGCCTGCTACATCTGTATTCTATCAGCTGGTCCTGTCTCCTGGCATCCTTCCAGAGAAGTACTGGCTACTACCAGCACAGACTACTGGACTGATCACAGGTACTCACACCTCACCTTGCTCTTGCAGCTACAGTTCCACTATCAGTGGCCCCTGAGCTGGAGCTGTAAAAGAGGCCTTCCTCTTCATGTCAGGCTCACTAACCAGATATGTGAAGCATGGTTTGTAAGTAGGGCCCTGATTTATTGTCACCAACACCCATGTTGGCCAAGGGCACCTCCTACCTTCCTCCAGCAACAGGATCGGGTTAGAGTACTAGACACCTATGAAGTGGGGGAACTCCATCATTTTGGTTACTCACAGTGTACTGGCCAAAGGCCCACCTCCAGAAATAAAGGAATGTCCACATATTCAGCCTTTTTACCATTTTACTGAGGCAGAAACATAATGTATGTTTCTATCCCAAAACAAAACTTTGTGTCTGCCTATTTACCCCTGACATAAGTAACATGGCCTGTTGTCACCTGCTGCTGTTTCCTGGCATCCTGCCAGTGAAGTACCGGCTACTACCAGCACAGATTACTGGAATGATCACAGGTAATCATACCTCACCTTGCTCTTGCAGCTACAGTTCCACTATCAGTGACCCCTGAGCTGGAGCTGTACGAGAGGCCTTTCTCTTCACGTCAGACTCACTAACCAGGTATGTGACACATGGTTTGTAAGTGGGGCCCTGATTCACTGTCACCAACATACATGTTGGCCAAGGGCACCTCCCACCTTCCTCCAGCAACAGGATTGGGTTAGAGTACTACACATCTATGAAGTGGGGAAACGCCACCATTCTGGTTACTCACATTCTCCTGGCCCAAGGCCCACCTCCAGATATAAGGGAATGTCAAATTTTTCAGCCTTTTTGGCATTTTATTGCAGCAGGAACAGAATGTACATTTCTTTGCCAAAACACAACTTTATATCTGTCTATTTACGCCTGACATATGTAACATGGTACAGTTCAACCCAAGGTTGGATTGCCAACCAGCCTTCCAGTTTCCTTGCTGTAGGTCCCCTTAGGGGGGGTTTTACAATGAAGTCTATACTGGCCTACCTCGAAGGATTCACTTCCTAAGGCTACAAGCCTTCATTGTAGTATGTAGCCTGTCTCATGTATTGTCTCCCATTGTAATGTACAGCGCTGAGCAAACTGTTGCCGCTATATAAATGCTGTGTAATAATGATAAATAGTATACTGAGGGTAGTCTCTTCCCATCAACCTCTGCCTCAAGGTCTTATGACTCTAGATTATAAGGGACACAATTAGCCACACCCACAGTATCCACCAAGGAGAGGAATCTCCCTAAAAGAGGTACCAACCCCTACTTACAGGTTTGCTTACATACAGTGGATTTATTATGGTTTTATTGTGGATAAGGTTCTTAAGGTGTAGAACCCTTGTCAGATTTTTGTTGCTTTCTGTGGCACTACTCTCTGTATTTGTCTTGGTGATCATTATTACTGGGACTGAAATAGGGAAGAAATCTAAAATGTTACAGTTGTCATCAGAACAGGAGGCGAGGGCAAATATTTCGATGGGAAAACCAGTTCCAGTGACATGAGGCACATTCCTGACATTTTTTAAACAGATTTTCTCTCACTTCCTGTTGCGTATTCCAGGACAGGAAGTAAACGTAAATCTCCCTAGTGGATGGAGGATGATAATGCTTTGGGTATGGGCTTTACATACATTTTAAAATTTGTATTATCATATTAAATAGGCTTAATAATATCTGACAAATCAAATCCCCTAAAGATAGGTTTCAGATATCCAAACAGCCAATTTGATTCATGGACAATTTCTACCTTTTACCTTTTCTCCCGTAAATATTTGAATGTTTAAACTGAGAACAGGTTTATTGTTAGGAAAATCAAATCCTCAATTCCCTACAGACTCAAACAAGTTATATAGTCAAATAACGTCTTACTGGTTATGATATCTCCTAGATTGTAAGCTCGAAAGAGCAGGGCCCTCGATCCCCTCATGTTTTGCATTGTATTGGTATTGTTCTGTCACATGTTCTGTCCCCCTTTGTAATGTACAGCGCTGAGCGAACTATTGGCGCTTTATAAATACTGTATAATAATAATATTAATAATGATGAAATATATTTTAAATTAAATTTTTTTCAGACTTGGGGAAAAAAAGTTAAATGCCATTTTTTAAATTTGTTACATTTTATTTTATTCCTCATGAATCGCAGTTCATCATTCAGTTAATACAACAGTCTGTTTCGCGGATGAGGTAGAAATTTTTTTAAAAAAAATTACACACAGATAAATAATTTTTGCAAAATGAATTATATATTAGATCATGTATTTTACTTTTTTTGTTTAATATTCTGAGAAGTGTGCATGTGGTGAGGTGTTTGGAAGGCCGACTGAAAACTTTTTAACCTTAAAAGTAAGACAAACACAAATAATTTTGCAATGTGCACTGAAGCTTTAGACTAAACATAGGAACTGAATTTTAAAAAGTAGAACATCAAAATATTTATTCCGGGTAGCACACAGCTAAATATTTTTTTCAGACACTTTTGTGCATTCCACTTTACTAAGTTTTGAGTTCTGGAGAGCTAGACATATTAAAATATTAATTTTCCGGTTTACTGAAATGATTTCAGAGTCAACTGCCATTAAAATTCTGAATGTAAGTATGAAAAAGGAGGATATGGCTTGTACTAATCCTCTTCAGTGTTTTTAATCCATTTATTTGAATTCCTTTAATTTATTTTACGTACTCACTGGTCATGAATCAGTTATGCAGAGTACCTGGTAAGAATATACATGCTTGCAAATGTCAATACTTTTTGAGATGAAAGTAAGTAAACTCATTTGAAAGATGAGAATATCTAATATTGTATTATTATTTTCATTATTATTATTAATATTATGCAATCGAGTTAATCTTTTTATTAAAGGGTAACATTCTTTTCGGTTAAAGCACATTACAGTCATTAGACTTTGACTCATTCACCCAAAAGCAATTTCTTATTTGACTTTACCATCATTACAGGCTTGCTTTTCCAGATCTAAAAGACTGTATTTCACATACATATTTGTAGACTGATGAATAATTCAGTAAAATATGCATCAGTATTTTCACTAAAAAAAATGCATCAGTAGAGCCACAGTTATAGGCAGATGAATTTTTATGCAAATCTGATTTTTTCCCGTAATAGTTACCACCATCAGAGCTTTTCTGTTGGTCAGTGTAGCAATATGCATTGTGGAGAAATGAATCTTCAAAATTCACAACAGAGGCACTGAAATCTTAGCTGTGATCCTATAATTTTCTATTGAATCTTGACAGCCTGCATGTAAACACACAGCAGATGTTTCTAAGTTGTTGGAAACCAACTAAAACCCACTTTATTGTCAATGTTGTGATCTTTGTTAAGAATATGTTAATACTTTAAAGTCCACAGTCTGGACACAAGTGCAATTAATAGACTTTTTGTTTCCTATAATGGTGCCACAGCTACCTGAAAAGTAAAACAGCAGTTCTGGATGCAATATTTATCCCCTCTCCGGAGCTGCCCCCTATCCAGCCCTTAAATGTCCTCCATATTGAATGACACCCAGCATCATCTACATAGGAAGACTAAGAACACACTGTGAGTCAGGACCAGGGGCGGACTGACCATTTGGAAACTCGGGCACTGCCCGAGGGTCCGGGTCAGTAGGGGGCCTCATGAGATGCCCCTGGTACCTTTTTCATAGGCTTTTTTGAGTTTGGGCAAGGACACAGGGGCCCCATGATCCCCTATTGCCCGGGGGCCCCATGAGTTGTCAGTCCGCCCCTGGTCAGGACCCAATCTAGAGGGGTGCTGGGGTGGGCTTCTCCCTCTAAGATTTTAGTTGTGTCCCCCTTCAAATGTCTCTCAGAGTGCATCCACTGATAGATGAGCCCATTTGATGGGGACAAATGATGTAAGGGGGCATTCTGATTGGACACATTTAATGTAAGAAGGCACTTTGATGGGGACATTTGATGAAAGTGGGGACTCTGATGGAGACAGTTGATAAAAGGAGGCTGTTTGATGGGGACAATTGATTTAAGGGGGCACTCTGATTGGGACTTTGATGTAAGATGGGACTCTGATGTAAACGGGGTCTCTGATGAGGACTCCCCATGCAAGGGGTGACTCTGATAAGGACTTTTGATATAAGAGGGCCTATTCCTTCAGTGAGCATCATCACAGAGAACAAGCATCATCGAGAGAAATAGACAGACAGACATAGACAGCAATAAAACTCAAACAAAAATTATAACCCTATGCTATGCCCTTAAATATACTAACTGTAGTGCAAAGCCATAACTGGTCTGGCTGTTTGATCTCAGGTTCCATCCCCTGTTAGGGACCTGGCAGCCAGGCACACAATATTTCCCAATCACTCAGATCAGACAGTGCATGCCTTTTTTTGTGGTTTTTACTTTTGTAGTAGAACTTGGATAGGGTGGGGGTTAGCCTAGGGATACATCAATGAACTTCAAACTTATAGTAGAGGATATTAAGCTGAACTAATAACAACAACAGGAACACAGTTCTGAGTGTACTAATAGTGATGTAAATCTTCCAAAAGAGGCCAAAGAAAGTCTCTAAGCCCGGAAGGCTGGTACTCACTGTGTCCTGATTACTGTGTAGCTGCCTGCAGTATCAGTCAGTTTCTGTACTGCAATTGCCTGTATCCTGGGTCCTTAGGAAACTTTTTGCAGATGCTTCAGAAGAATAGAACAGAGGTCCTCCAGCCAAGCAGCATCCGGGACCCCATAAAAGATTCTTGCAGCTGCAGGTATATTTCCCAGGTATGCCACAGCCCTCAGGCTGGGTCTTCAGGAACAAGAGGCCTCTACTGTGGGTTCCAGCCTATTGATGACCTTTGCCTCCCCCTCAGCCCCCTGCTGGTCACTCACAGCCCTGACCAGGGATTGGCAGAAGAAGCATCAATATGCTGGCTGGGATCTGTGTTCTTTCACCCACTATGCCCCAGTTCCTTGGGATAGAGGGGGAACTAACTAAGCCCACACCAGCAGGGCCCAGAGCAGAGCCCTACCCTAACCAAGCAATTGTTTTTCTCTTGAATAGGGTAATAGGGATTATGGGATGTCCAACTTAACTGAATCAATGCATGGGGACAACTTCTGTCCCATTTACAGAAACAGATCCTGGACTGTTCTTTTCCTTGAAAGTCTTTGTGGATCAGTAGCAACATCCCCTTATGGGTTAGGGATCCGCAGCCCCTCTGAAAGTTAGCTCAACTTGTTGCAAACTACATACAGAGATGTCTCCTCTCCCCTGTAGAACTGCTCCCAGCTCCACAGCCTGCAGACAGACCAGCCCTCCTGGCTGCTCTGAAGATCTCCCAGGACAAGGATAAAGGATTAAGCACGATGATATCCTTTGCAGGCTTGCTACATGTGGCAGTCTCTCCCCTTGTAAATCCCAGGGTGTGCTGATGTACTCACTCTGTCCTCCTTGCTCTCACTGCCCCCCCCAGGTATGGATCCTATTCATGCCATACTGCTGAATGAACCCTCCTGAGTCAGCCCAAGCCCAGTCTGGAGGCCAGCCCCCCTAGACCCAGGGTACCCATCCCAGGCCACCGACAGCTTCCTCATCACTCCATCTTCCACTCAACTCCCCTGACTGCTTGACTATCCCATATTTATGTTGGGTCTGGGTGAGTGGGTCCAGGTGAAACCTCCATAGCAGAGTGCTGCAGGGGAGGTGGAATCAGTGGCCTGGATCCAGGTTTCCGTGATCGCTAGGAGGTTAAGGGAGCGGGAAACAAAGAGGTCGTGGATGGCGGTGAGCTTGTTGCACACCGATCGGGCGTTCAGGAGTGCACACGAAAATGGGGGTGAGTGGATTCTGTTTTTTAATTAATGTGATTGGTTTTAAACATGCTGCTCCATCATGTCCTTTCTTTATCCCTGAGTGTGGTTCCAATATCCATAATGGAAATGACAATCATATAAAAGGTTTCAATATATGCTGGCTGGTGGGCTGCAGGGTATTACTCCTAGAGTCTGGCTATCTTCTACAACTGCAGAGTGTTGCTTCTAGAGTCTGGATATCCCTACAATCATCGCTCCTAGAGCAACCGCGCTTATGCTGATTTATAATTTGATCAGCATATAGGTCTGGTGAGTTTATTTATTCCATCTGGTGGTGGAGTTTGATCACAGTGTTCTTTCAGAGTTATATGATACTTGGACTTTATACACGGACACATTTTTTGGATTATTTAGTACGATTTAGTTGATTGATTTCTTTTTACATTATTTATGCACGATTAAGTTGATTGATTTCTTTTTACATTATTTATGATTTAGCGTATTCCTATATTTATTTATAATAAAATAGAACTATAGCACAAAGCGAAAATACATGTTTGAACAAACAGTTGCATATATATATATATATATATATATATATATATATATATACTGTATATATATATCTCAATTAATGTGACTATATCAGAGCGAGCTGAAGTGCTGGATATCCTATAAATATCTTTTTTACAACATGTTAAAATAGAAATATCATGCTATGCACAGGTGTAGGAGCCCATTAAGAATGCTGTCCCTTCAGTGGAGTATATCGGAATACATCACTTACCCTCCAGGGGCTATTTCTGAAGGTGAAGAAGATCTTAATGGTATAGGTAATAAGTGATAATCTTTTACAAAATTGAAGCTCTGATTTTGCTATTTTTAACTGATGATAATGACGATGATTGAGATTAAGCTCCTTAATAAAGTATAAACCCAATCTCTAACATTTCATATAAGATTTAACATGTTAATGGCACTTGAACATGCATTTTAAATATTTTCACATTTGCAGCATTTATTAAAATCATACCTGATGGTCCTGCCATGGAACTCCTTGTTTGTGGGCTTCCTGTTATAGAGTGACAATGTTCTGTTACTATTTTCTAATTGTGCTCATGTGTTGTCACAAAGTCACATGAAGACTGCAAGGGGGTTATTTACTAAAACTGGAGAGTTTTCAAATAACTCTGCATAGAAACCAATCAGCTTCCAGGTTTTATTGTTAAAGCTTAATTGAACAAGCTGAAGTTAGAAGCTGATTGGCTGCCATGTTCAGCTGCTCTAGATTCTGAGTGCTCTAGTTTTAGTAAATCCCCCCCAAGTATACAATTCAGCACACATTTACGCAAGAAGGGTCCACTGTTATCACCATCAGGAAACCTGCCTGAGAAATGCCATACAACCATCACTGGAGTAGACAGAAAGTGGCTGCAAATAGGCTGCAGGAGACCAGCGGAACATACGTAATACAACGATTGAAAGAAAGGCAAAAATTAGTATTTTTTTTAATGTCTCTTAATATGTTCATGTTGTTCAGTTAGGCACCATTCACACATGTGCCTCGCGCTTATGTCTGTTTTTTCACTTTTTTTTTTTTTTTTTTGGGACGTGGCAATCACTCAACAACCTTGGCCAGCCTATTTACCTGAAAGGGCTGTCCTACCCCACATGGAAGAAAAATATATTTGAAATATATTTTCAAAATATTCTTCCCAAATATATTGACATATATGTGAAATGCTACATTTTTGGCCATATTCAATATATTTCAAAATGCGCCATAATGCATGGTACAAAAATGCTCGATTCTCATGACCCAAAAAAGGGTGCAGGAGCTACTTTTGTATTATTTGTTGCATGTCCCATATGGAAGAAAAATATATTTGAAATACATTTTAAAAATATTCTTCCCAAATATATTGCCATATATTTGAAATGCTACAATATTGGCCGTATTCAATATATTTCAAAATATATTTCAATATATATGTATGTATGTATATATATATATATATATATATATATATATATATATATATATATATATACATATATACTGCATGTTGAAATGTGTTTTATTACAAAATATATATTTTAAAAATATATTTTAAATATACTGTATGTCTTTAAAATACAAATCTACGTTTTTGGAATGCATTTACAAATATATGTAAAAAAATTATGTTAGAATGACCTTTTTTACATGTTGAAAAAAAAATCTGAAGAATATATTTAAAAAAAATATATTTTTTAAAAATATATTTTTTCAGATTTTTTTTACATATAAAAAAGTCATTTTAACATATATTTGTAAATGCATTCCAAAAATGTAGATTTGTATTTTTAAAGACATACAGTATATTTGAAATGTATTTTTAAAATATTTTTCATATATTTTGTAATAAAAACACATTTCAACTTGCAGTATATATATATATATATATATATATATATATATATATATATATATATATATATATATATTTTGACATATATTAAATATGGCCAAAATTGTTGTATTTTAAATATATGTCAATATATTTGGGAAGAATATTTTTAAAATATATCTCAAATATATTGTTCTTCCATATGGGACATGCCACAAATGATACAAAAGTAGCTCCTGCACCCTTTTTTGGGTCATGAGAATCACGCATTTTTGTACCATTCATTATGGCGCATTTGTTGCATAACAAAATGCACATCTGCTAGCTGCGTTTGGGGTTCCAATGACATTGCAAGGGCTATGCTTGTTTTGGCACATTTCTGGGAATGCATTCTGGAAACTCGCAGCTGTGATTGAGGCCTTAGGCTGGCGATAGATTATCCAATTTTCTTGAGATTTTTGGTTTAGATTTACCAAAAACCATATAATAGCAGGTCAAACCTAAACAACACTTTCAATTGTATTCAATTAGACAGGCCCTTGCACTACATAGTT